GCCTAACCTCAGTGAGGTGAGCATCCGGGGAGGGGTCCCTGGGGGACTGCAGGGGGGTGCGGTGAACAGCAGCCACCTAACCTCAGTGAGGTGAGAATCCTGGGTGGCAACAGGGTGGGTGTGGTGAGTGTTCAGTGGGGAGCAGGAGAGAGTCGAAGAGAGAGGGCCTGTTCCGAGAGGACTCCTTCACACCAGTCTCCCCCTCACTGCTCTGCCCATCCTAGGGGATGTCCTCTTCCTGGGTGGTCTCTGGAATTTCCCATAGGGCAGGGTCATTTCTGGGTGGATCCCCTGGGAGAATGAGCCCTGCAGCCTGAGCTGGTGTGGGCACCCCACTTCCCCACATCTGGGCTAACGCTTAAGGGGGTTCTTGAGTCTGGCTGGCACAGGTGCACTTGTTGTCTCCAGTGGATCTGGGCCCCTGTCTCCCCAGAACTGAGGGTCAGGGCAGCCTCCAGGCACCCAATGGGATTGTCCACTGCCTCTCCAAGACCTCTGGGCTGAGTTGATACTTTTCCAAGCATGATGTCTTCTTCCGGATGCTGGCCTCTGCTGACAATGCCCAAAGGCTGGGAGGCGGTCTTGGTATCGTTTCAAAGAGGCCCTCCTCTGGATGCAGTCTCCACAACAGTGTGGCTTGGTAGTTTTGGCTTTTAATGGTGTAGTCAATGTCTTGGTCAACAACATTGTTCAAAAGCATCGACTCCTCAGCTTTTCTTATTCACTGCCCAGCTTTCACATGTCTGTGAAGTGACCAGAAATACCCTGACTTGGCCGAGGTGCACCCTGGTCTTGCATGTAACACTCTTGCTCCTTAGCACTTTAAAGGGGTCTTTTGAAGCTGATTTGCCCAATACAGTATGCCATTTGATTCATGACTGCTGCTTCCATGAACACTGTTTGTGGAGGCTCATAAAAGGAAACTTGGACTACTTCAATCTTTCTTTATCAGAATGAACTGACCCAGCCTTCACCTCAAAGTACTGTCACTGGGAATTGAAAATCCAGATTTCACAAGTCTCCCTCCATCTCTCATTGTTCTCGAGCTGGAACCAACCATTGCGTGGGAGGTTAACAATCTTTCTGAGGAGACCCCAGTGGGTTCACACTGATGGTGAGGTGGCATCTGGGTGCCAGCTCCCATAAAGTCATGACTGAAGCACTGTGCCCGCACACCAGAAACCACAACACTGCAACATCGCCAGCCTTTCCTGTTGCTGTTTGCACAAAAAGTCCTTCCCAGAAATGTGCAGAACTTCGAGTCAAGACCAGGCACAGTTCTAGAAAGTTCTCCAAATGTTTTAGTGGGGTTCTGAGTTATTGTGCCTGGTTGTTCCCAGGGGAGGGGATGACACTGCTGCATTCTCTCCATGTGTTTCTGTTGTCAGGGTTGCTGAGTCAAATCTGACCATCTGTGAACAACAAGTCAGACCCTGGAGCCATCCTGCGTCGACCCAATACTCTCCCCCATGCTGCGGTCACTAAGTTTTACACTCCCTTTTGGTGAACTTCAGTCTTTCCCAGAATAACAATCTTTTCCCAAGGACTGGTCCCTCCTGACAACATTCCCAAAGTATGTGAAGAAAAAGTTCACTCCCCTTGCCTCCAAGAACTGTCCTGATTGCTGTTCCTCCAGGCCAGCTCTGTCCATTTTTCTGGCAGTCCATATTCTGTGCTCTTTTCCAGCACCACAACTCTAGGCCAGTGACTCTTCTTTGGCCTTTCTTACTCATTGGCCAACCTCCAAATGCACAGGAAACAATGGAAAATGTCCTTAAATCGGCACCCCACTCCTCAGCACTTGAGAGACGTCCTTACAGCACTTCCCCAAGGCAACACGTCTTTTTGTTTCTTGACTTCTGCTACCATGGATTTTGGTTGTGTATACAAATTAAATAATTGACAATGTCACTCTTTATCAATCATAAATTTTCCTATTGGTCTAGTGGTGAAGATTTTTGTTTTCTTGATGTTGAGAGGTAGACCAAATTGAAGGCTGTATAGTCTTTGATCTTCTTGAGCAAGTGCTTCAAGATCTGTTCACTTTCAGCAAACAGGGTTGTGTCATTTGCATAACTCAGGTTGTCGACGAGTCTTCCTCCTATCCTGATTCCACATTCTTCCTCATAGAGTCCAGAGTCTTGAATGATTTGCTCAGTATACAGACGGAATATATATTGACAAACGAAACAACCTTGGCACATAATCTTTTCTGATTTTAAACAATGCAGTGTTCCCTTGTTCTGTTTGGACAACAGCTTCTTGGTCTATGTATAGAATTTGGATGAGCAAAATTAAGTGTTCTGAGAGTCTAATTTTTCTCAATGTTGTTGTTGGTATGTGACATCGAGTCGCTTGTGATTCATAGTGACCCTATGTACAAGAGCTCTAAATGCCATTCTATCCTGTGCCAACCTCACTGTCTCAAACACATTCCCATCACTTCAGTCACAGAATTGATCCATCTCATCGAGGGTCTTCCTCTCCTGCACCGCCCCTCCACACTCCCAAACATGATGTCTCCAAGGACCAGTCCCTCCTTGCAACATGCCCAAAGTATCAGATGAAGCTTCAGAATCCTTGACTCCAGGGAACATTCTGGCTTCACCCTCTCCAGGACAAACCTGTTTGTTCTCCTAGCAGTCCATGGTATATTCAACACTCTTCTCTAGCACCACCGCTCAAAGGCATCAATTCTCTTTCTATCATCCCTATTCACTGTCCAACTCTCCAATGCATAGCACATAATTGTGAAGGCTATAGCCTGGATCAGGCGCACCTTAGTCTCTAGACTGAAGTCGTTGTTCTTCAATACTCTTGAAAGGTCCCTCACAGCTGACTTTCCCCATGCAATTTGTCTCTTGATTCCTGGCTGCTGCTACCAAGAGTGTTGACTGTGGAAACAAGCAAACTGAAACTGTTAACTATCTCAATCTCTTCACTGTCCATACTGATGCTGCCAATTGGCCCAGTGGTGAGATCTTTGTTTCCCTGACGTTGAGCCTCAATCCATATTGAAGGCTGCAGTCCCTGACACTCTGCAGCAAGAGCTTCAGGTCCTCAGTTTCAGCAAGCAGGGTTGTGTCATCTGCATAACACAGATTGTTGATGACTCTTCCACCAATCCTGATGCCACATTCCTCCTTGTACAACCCAGTGTCTCGGATGATCTGTTCTGCATACAGATTGAAGAGGTTTGGAGACAGACTACATCCCTGACGGACCCTCTTCCTGATTTTGAAACATGTAGTGAGTGTCTCCTTACTCGGTTCTGACAACTGCCTCTTGGTCCAAGTATAGGTTTCGCAGTAGCACAATCAAATGTTCTGGGATTCCCATTCTTCTCAGAGTCAGCCATAGCTTGTTTCGCTCCACCAGTCAAAAGCCTTTGCCTAGTCAGTGAAGCACAGATAGACATTCCTCTGGTATTCTCTGCTTTCTGCCAAGATCCACCTAACATTAGCTGTAATATCCCTAGAACCACAACTTCTTCTAAATCAAGCCAGCACATCTGGCAGTTCTCTGTTGACATATTGTTCCAAATGTCTTTGGATAATTTCCAGCAGAATCTTGCTTGCATGTGATATTAATGATTTTGTTCATTAATTTCCTCACTCTGTTGGATCATCTTTCTTTGGAATGGGAACAAATATTGATCTTTTCCATTCAGTTGGCCAGCTGGCTATCCTCCATATTTCTTGGCATAACCTAGTGAGCACATCCAGGGCAGGGTCTGTTTGTTGACATAAATCAATTGGTATGCTGTCAACTCCTGGAGCCTTTTTTTCCAATTCCTTTGTCCTTCATCACCATAGGCTCTTGCTCATATGTTATTTCATGAAATTTTCTGTGTCAGCCAATTCCTTCTGATACAGTGACTCTAATTGATCCAACATGAATCAAGATGCATTGATAATAATGGGCGACTGGAACACAAAAGTTGGGAACAGGGAAGAAGGATCAGTAGCTGGAAAACATGGGCTCGGTGAGAGAAATGAGGCTGGAGATAGAATAATAGAGTTCTGCACATTCAGTGATTTACTCATTGCAAATACCTTTTATAAGAAACATAAACACAGGCTATACACATGGATTTCACCTGATGGTATGCATAGGAATCATATCATTTACATTTGTGGAAAGACTCTGTAGAGAAGCTCAATATCAGCAGTGAAAACCAGGCCGGGTGCTGATTGTGGGACAGACCACCAACTACTCATATGCAATTTCAAGCTGAAGTTGAGGAAAATTAAATCAAGTCCACGGGAACCATGATTTGACCTTAAGTCTGTCCCACTCGAATTTCAAAACCATCTCAGGAACAGGTTTGAGATCTTGAGCACCTATGAGCATAGACCAAATGAGCTCTGGAAGGATATCAAGAAAATCGTCCACGAAGAATGGAAAAGATCATTACAAAGGCTGAAGAAGAAGAAAAGACCAAGATGGATGTCAGATGAGACTCTGAGTATTGCATTAGAGCGCCGAGAAGCCAAAGCTAAAGGAAGAAACCAAGAAATCAAAGAGCTAAACAGAAAATTTCAAAAGGCAGTCCGGGACGACAAAGCAAGATACTATAGTGAGATGTGCAGAGAGCTGGAGTCAGAAAATCAAAAGGGCTGGACTCGCTCAGCATTTCTTAAGCTGAAGGAGCTTAAAAACAAATTCAAGCCACAGGTGGCAATACTTAAGGATTCTCAATGTTAGTCATAATTTAATAAGATCACATAATTGAATGCCTTTGTTTAGTGAATAAAACAGAAGTAAACATCTGTCCAGTATTCTGTGCTTTCAACCAAGATCCATCTGAAATGACGACATTAGAGAACTGTATAGAATCTTTCAAAGAGCAGCTCACAAAGATAAAGCAACATATTATAACAAAATGTACAAAGAGCTGGGGTTAGAGAACTGAAAAGGAAGAGTGTTCTTGGCATTTCTTAAGTAGAAAAAAACTGAAGAACTCAATCTCTTCACGTAGCTTCATTTGCTTGACTTACACCACTGTTTATCAAGTAAATATCTGACAGAATTTAGTAGCTCATCTGGAAAGGAGAGTGGAGATAGCTGCCCCTCACCTACAGCCTGCAGAACTAGAAAGGAAGAGGCATTTGGAAATCTCAACAAGCCTGCTCCAGGCTCACCAGTGGAGAAAGAAGTGGAAATAGACCAGAATTGGGAAAGTTAACTTTGTGGAAATGTACCTCTCATCAATGATTAAATGCACTTTCAACAGAGTATTATAACTTTAGCTTCAGAAAGAAGTAAAAAGTTCTGTTATTGAGGCCAACAACTTAGCTCAAGAAACAATAAAAACATTTGCGCATTCAAAAATGAAATCAGGAATGAAAACCAAGGCAGAGAAATGGAAGGATCACAGTATTAACAAATAGAATATCCCATTGGAAGCCAAACAAAAGCTCATCAATGCCAAGAAGAAACAGGCCTTCGACTGGACGGCTGTTTGTTCTTCAACAGCAGCAGTGAAAAACACATTAACCCTTTATTGTTGTTGTTGAGTGCCATTGAGTTGAGCACAACTCATAGAGACCCTATAAACAAAAGACCTGAAGCCTTTCTGTAATTATCATCATTTATCAAAGTTCATGAAGTTTCCAGAGGCATATAGTATAGGAAGTGGGTGCCAAAATCTATCAAATCCTCAGCCAAACATGGGTCTGTTTGCCTAATCTAACCTATTAACGGTCCCTCCTCAGTGCTGACCATGACCTGGCCACCGTCCTCGACAGGGCTCATGTCCCGGATACTTGGGAGCTCGGCTTCCCCCGGTGGCTGTTCATGCTGGGATGCCACAGAGTTATTTGTATCGCTTTGTAACACGTTGATATCTGATGGGACAGTATCGTCATCTTTTCTTTCCTTTTTCCAGATTGATCTAGCTGTTCATAGACATTTGTTCCTGCATGTGAATTTTATAATCTGTTTATTGAGTTACACACATGTGCATCATGTTCACATGCACACACAGAGACCCAAGTCTTCCTGGGAGTTTTACTGGGATTACAAAGTAGTTACATACTGAATTGGTTTCCACATGTATCAGTTTGTCATGCTGTGATGCTGGAAGCTATGCTGGTATTACAGTTACCATCAGGTTCACCCACCGTGGCTTTAAGTGGAGCTTCCAGACTGAATCAGACTAGGAAGATAGATGGGCGATATACTCCTGCAAAAGGTGACGGCTGGCAACCTTAGGGCCTGAGATAGTGCTGGAAGCTGAGGCTCTCAGGATGAAAGGCACTTAAATACAACTGGTCAAGAGCTGCTCCTCAAAGTAGTGTCTGTCTTACTGATAGGGAGTAGGACAGAGCTTTTGACTCTCATTTGTTGATGTGGCCCTAATCAGAATGAGGAAACGAAGAACACACATTAGTAATCAGCATGTGGGATGGACAGAAGCACACATCACGATGGCTCTTCTATGTACTGGGGAGCGTCCGCTGGTCTTGGCCATTTCCTCAGACACCCATATTATTGCCTGTGCTGCTGGTGATAATTCCATGTGCATACAAGACAGACCTAGTACCAGTATCCAAATACCATCCTCTAAAGAAAAAGATGAACAACAGGATTTCTGCCAGCTTCTGCAGCCTGAAATGGATCAAACATGCTACCAAGATGCATGGACAATTGCTAGTGATTGGGATACAAAATTGGAAACCATGAAGGGATGGTAGTGGGAACATACAACCTTGATGTTAAAGAGCACCTGACGGAATTTTGTCAGATCAATAACAATTTATTAGAAAGGACTTTTTTCAACAACATAAACATGTGGCCCTTGACATTTGGAATACACAGGAACTCAGTCAGCTATGTCTGTATTTCTGGAGTAGGGAGATGGACGAGGAGATGGCAGCTGGCCAGAGGAAGACATTTCTGCAGGGAGTAAAGCCACCCAGGTCCACGGGTGGACCATTGTCTGGTCCCCATCCGATAAACCAGCTTCCTTTCTGATCACCCTCCAGAGACATCCTACCCTGCCAGAGCCCAGGGGGCTCAGGGAGTCTGCTTCATCTCCAAATCTGAGTGCCTGGGAAGCTATCTCATCAGGAGCGGGGAGAGGCCCTAATGACCCTGAGGAAGCAGGCAGGGCGAGGGGCAGTGTTCTGAGTAGTCTTCACTTAATACTCTTAGATTCACAGAAGATAGTGTCTCCATTAAAGCAAGAGCATTGTGCTGTGAAAAAGCAGAGGAGGAGGAGGATGAGTTGCTGGAAATTAAAACTATGATGAAAATACTAATAGTGAGAGCAGAAGCTGAAGGTGAGCAACTCTTCCAGAAAGCCAAAAAGTGGGAAGATGAGACAGGAAAGAAAAGGTCAGAGAGCATGTGCCAGGCTCAGAAACTATCTGAGAATAGAGAAAACGAAGGGCCCATACACAAATGGAGTAACAAAAATGCCCGGACTGGGGACCACTGGAGGACAGGAAGCAGTAAGCCCATGCCCAGGTCAGGTTCTGTGGGCAGCTGGGTGGAGCCCTCAGGTCATCCATCTGCAGGGGAGTGGAGCTGGCAGAAGGAGGGGCAGGGGTGAGTTCACAGAGGAGGATGGTGGGAGGGCTGGTTTCCGAGCAAACCATAATGGGGTGGGCAGCAGCTGGAGCCAAGCCACCTGGCACAGGACAGCTCTCCACAAACACGCCCAGGCTCTCCAGGGGCCGTAGAGGGGGGAGGGCACTGCACAACCCAGCTCAGGCCTGGTGAAGAGATTGTAGCAAGGAGAACCTCTACACTCTCTTCCTTGGTCTGGAAGCTTCATAGTCACAGGTCTAACTGTACCTGGAGACAGCCAGCCAGGTGTGGCCAGGAGCTGGGTATCAGCCTGGCCACATGCCTTCCTGTACCCCAGGACTGCACTGACCATAAGCCCTGCCTTCTGCAGAGACCTGGGCACGTCTCTGGGCCGCCTGCAGGTGCTGTGGCTGTCCCGCTGTGGCCTGCGTGACCTGGATGGCATTGGCTCCTTCCAAGCACTGAAGGTGTGTTGAGAGAGGGGTTTTGGGGAGCGATGTGGGGATCCCAGGGCTGGGGGACCCTGTGGAGGCCTGGCTGAGCTCCCCCTCCTACCTGGCGGCCCCAGGAACTCTTTGTCTCCTACAACAATATCTGGGACCTGAGCCCGCTGTGCCTGCTGGAGCAGCTGGAGGTGCTGGACCTGGAAGGCAACAGTGTGGACGACTTGGGGCAGGTATGCTACCTGCAGCTGTGCCCACGGCTGGCCACGCTCACCCTGGAGGGCAACCCGATGTGCCTTCAGCCAGCCCCCAGCCCCTCCAGCACGGTACGTAGGTGGGCTTCCTGTGGCTCTAGCCCCTCAGCCTTTCCGTGATCTGGGAACCTCTGCCCCTCCCAAAGTCCACTAGGCCTGCCCAATTCAAGGACCTGTGGGGACTAGAAGCCCCCGAGGGCACCACCACCTGACGCCCTGCATGGTTCTCTTCTATCTCAGCGGCACCAGCCCCTCATCCCCTCCCCTGTGCATCACACGGGGACACAGCTCTGCCCGCAGCCTGTACAGACCCTGCACACACTGTGTACACACGCCCACATGTACACTCCTTCAGTGCCACTGACGCCCCAAAAGACACCTCCTCACACACCTGGGCACACCCCCAGGGAACTCAGCCCCTCAAGACTAGGAAAGTGACCCTCAGGAGTGTGAGTGGATGCACAACGGCCACCCAGCAGTTCCAGAGCCCTGAGTAAAGCTCCTCAGGTTACTCTTGTCCCCTGCTACATGAGGCTGCAGGACCTTGGTGGGTAAAGCCAGAGCCTCAGTTCCCCCAGGCCTTGCGTTCCAAAGTACAGAGCCCAGACCAGCCGTTAGCGGGCAGTATCCCCACCCTGGCTCCCCTGACCAGCCTGCCCATTGGACTTGGGAGAAAGGAGCCAGGACCCAGGTCAGCCTCCACGCTGCAGGTGCACCAGGATTACGACTACAGGACAGAGGTTCGGAGGCTCGTCCCCCAGCTGCAGGTGCTTGATGAGGCCCCGGCTGCACAGACGAGCCAGCCAACCACCCGGACACTGATCCAGGATTGGCTCATGGTGAAAGAGGCCATCAGGGAGGGATGCACCTTGGACAGTCTGCTGCCTGAGCTGGGTAAGAGGCCACTCCCTCTTCTGGCAGCAAAGACACCTACCTGGCATATGGCCTCACTGCTGTGTCTCCAGAAGAGGTGTCCATCCCCCCGGAGGAAGGTCATTATAACCTCCAGGAAAGAGATCTCCACCCCCCACCACTAGGAAATGAGATTGATCTCTACCCCTTCAGGAGAGGGATCACCCCCGGGAAAGGGATCACCCCTCCAGGAAAGGAATCTGCCCCAGGAGAGGGATCACCCCTAGGAGAGGGATCTCCCTCTCTCAGAGGTTTCCATGCTCTCACCTCTCAGGAGCCACACCGTGCACCTCACTTCCAGGCTCCTGCCACACCCTCACCCTTGGCCAGCACCCTGTGGTTCTGGTCTTCTCTGAACTGCTTAACACTTCAGCTGGAGGGAAGTGTCCAAAACTCAGGCTGAAGCCTGCACTGTGGCTGACCCTTGGCACAGCTTCAGAGGACCCTGCCTGCAAGCACGCCTAAGCAGGTTCTTGGGGTGCTTGGCTGGTGTGGTCTAGTGACTTCTGATTCCTTCTGACCTCAGAAGATTGTCCTCAAGGAGCCGCCATGTGGCGACTGGGCCCCATTCGGACTCTGCCTGAAGCCCAGCCCCAGCAGACCAGCCCCTGGCCTCTCTCCCTACTGCTTCCTAGGACGCTTCTACCAGACAGCTTGTTCCCTGAGAACCTGGTTCCAGAAGATGAAGCCAGTAACCTCACCCACGGTAACTGACTCACCCCAGCCCGCTGGCCCTGTGGTCCCAGACCCCACACTAAGCTAAGTGCCCCCTCTTGTGCAGGTGCCAGCCAGGTCCTCTGCGGAAATCCCACCAAAGGCCTTCGGGAGCGGAAACAGCAGTGTCAGGTACAGCCACCCCCATAGCCGTGTCCAGGGCCTCAGTCTCCTCCATGGGCCAACAGCCAGGACCTGATCCTTCTGTCCTGGACCTGAAACCCCAGTTCTCCAATCTCCGCTCCAGCCAGGATCTGACCCTTCTCTCCTGGGAGTGTCAGACCCTACAGCCACCCTGGACCTGGGCCCAACTCTCCAATCCCCACTCCAGCTGACTGCATCTGTCTATCCTGTCATTGTCCCTCCCATGCATGGCAGAGTGTGGCCCCCAAACTGGGCCTTCTCCCTCCCCAGACCTGGGTGCCCCCAGAACAGCTCCCCCTTCACAGGCCTGTGGGCCTCACTGTCAGCACCTCAGCCCAAAGGCCACAACCTGCAGACAGCCCAGTCCTCTCAGCCTCGGCCCCATTCTGGTTCCGGACACAGAAAGAGCTGTGCCTAAGGTGGGTGCCATGCCCTGCCAAGCCCTGCCTCGGGCAAGGGGCAAGTGCTTACTGTCCTCTCACCCGGTAATGGTGGAACCTGAGATAGTAGACAGACAGGACCACACCCTTGTCCCCTCCTGTCCTGTAGGCACCTGGAGTCGCTGAAAGAAGGGGCGGCAGCTCCCTGGGGTCCACAGCCACAGCCAAGTCCCAAGGAGCAACAGAACGAGGCTTGGCCCCCCAGCCTGGCACCCGGTACTGAGGCTGCCCTACTCACAGAGCCCAAGAGTGACCCCAACACTCTCCTGGGGATGGGGGCCCTGTTCTGGAGGCTAGGGCTCCCTGCCGAGGATGGGGCTGCATGGAAAGTGACAGCAATCTTCCTTCTCCCTTCCTGCCCCTGTGCTCCCATACAGCCAACCCCAGAGAAGAGTGGATGGGCCCAGGGACAGTGGCTTGCTTCTGAGTGACCTCAGCGGGAGTGGAGCAAAGGCAGGGCTGCAGGGCGGAGACCTCTCACCCCCGGGGTCTGTCCCCAGACAGGGCTCACTGGAACTGAGACACATGACCTCGGCTGGCTGCCTGCCTGCCCTCTTCCTCCCTGCTGTGTCCCCCATGCAACTGGTGATGGGGTGGGGGACAGAAGAGTACAGGGACAAGTGAATGGAGAGCATAGGACCAGAGGAGGAGACAGCTGGAATGTGCCATACGGGCCAAAGGGCCCAGACGCTGAGAGTGGATGTGGGGCTTGTTCTACAGAGGTGGTTGAGGAACTGGCCCAGGACACCAGCTGAGGCAGGTCCCTTGGGGACAGTGCTCGGGCCTTAAGGGCTCCTGCCTGCCCAAGAGCTGGCCAGATGTGACTGCAGAGAGTGGGGCTACAGGTCCCGGTAGGGAGACAGAAGTGGAAAGTGGTGTGGCCTAGTGAGGGCTGGGCAGTTGTCTCCCAGATGGCAGACAAGGGAAGGAGACCCTTGGCCTCTGGACCATGAATCTCTGGCCCATAGGAGACACTCTTTAACACATACCCCAGCACTCCCAGCCATCCTGTGAACCTGACACTCTTTCCCAGCTTCAGATGCAGAGCCCTGGGCTGGCAGTTCTGTGGGGGCTGATGAATTGGAGTCTGGGCCCTGAGGGATTAATGACTTGAGGCCTTGGGCTGATGGCTCTGGGAAGGTGATGACTCTGGGGGAGCTGGGCTAAGGGCTGTGAGAAGTTATCAGCTTATGGGGGCTGATGGCTCTGGGGGGCCTGGACTGATGGCTGTCTGCCCCTTCGCTTTGCAAAACCCTCAGGGGCCTCAAGCTGCAAACTGGTTCCCTCTCCACCCAAGTACCGGATGCCCCTCAACTCAGGCACAGGCTCCTGGGGGATCACGGAGCAGCAGTTCAGGGGACGTCGGCTCAGGAGCCTGGGGCTGCCAGCAGTGAGAGCCCTGGATGTGACCTTAGGCCAGAGCCCCAGAGCCCAAGGACACCTGGCCCCACTGCCAGCATCAGACATCACACCCAGATCTCCAGGCCTGCAGTGCCTGCATGCCCTGGGCCCCCTCACCCCAGCCCCCTCCGCTCCTTAGCATCAGCCACTACCCCCAGGCTTGCCTGCAGCAGGGGAAGGGGCCCCTGTGTGGCTACGTGGCCTGGGCTCTGGTGTCTGCAGAGCTGGCAGTCGCCTGGTCCAGAGGTTCCCTGATGGTGACGAGCAGGGTGTGGGGTGTGAGGAGAACATCCAGCTGCTCCCCTGCCATCAGCAACTGCCCATTCATTACTGGGGCCTGACCATCAGAAGTCAGGCCTGGGGCAGGTGTGGGCGAACACCACAAGGGTCCCCAGCGCCCGATTACTCAATGGCCTGGCTGCCACGCGCTCATCAGTCATGAGCAGGCTTTCTCCACGCAGGAAGGGAGTGGTCATACCCCTCCACTTGGGGCTGCCCTGGAGACCAAAGAAATCATTTTAACTCTCAGGTGTACAGAAGGTGGTTTACTTTGTAGAAGCCGTTGGTTCAATAAATTATGCAGTGGCAGTATCTCCTCTGTTCTCCCTGCTGCCCACGCCGCCCCTGCACCCTTAGTCCTGCCGCCACTGTCCCATCGTGAACACCACCATCAAGGCCACAGGATCCGCCTGCCTATTGCTCACACCTGCCTGCACGGGTCCTTGGTGACAGGCAGGCATCTGCTCTGGGCCGCGCTCTAGCCCGACAAGACCACCAAGGGGCAGCTCCGGCCCACGCCCTGAGGACACACCTTGGGAGGGGGCAGGCGGGTAGGGAGAGGATCACTGCGAGGGGGCGGGATGGGCGATCTCTGAGGGGGGTGG